GAATTATCTGGGGGCCTGGAGCTATGGCCTAGCAGCTGAAGTTCTCTCTTTGCATGCTCCTGGATTCCATCTTTGCACGAGTTCTAATCCTGGCAGCCCCACTTCCCATCCAGCTCCCTGCTTGTGCTCCGGGAAAGCAGTCAAGGACAGCCCAAATTGGGACCCTGTGCTTGCATGGGAAGCCCGAAGGAGGCTCTGTGCTCTTGGCTTCGGATTGGCGTAGCTCTGAGGATTCACTTGGAGAGAGAGCTTCCTCTCTGTCTCCCCTTCTCTCTTTATCTCTGACTTTCAAATAAATAAATAAATAAGGCTTGTTTTTTAAAGAATCACCTGGATTGCTCAGAAGAAAAACATAATTCCAAATACAATTTTGTCTCAGATAATGACATAGCTTAAAGTTTTCCAAAATGGAGCATATTTCTTTTAACATTCAACATATAGCTTTTCACGGTAAATGATATGTAAGCCTTAATGATTTAGATTTACAAAAGGTGTTGCTGTTTAGCAAGTTAAGCTACCAGTTGAGATGGCTGCACCCTGTATGCAGATTCCTGGTCCAAGCACCAGCTACTACAGCTGTGGTCCAAATTTCTGCTTTATGTGTATGATAGGCAGCAGATGTTGGCACACGTGTGTGATTTTGAATCCCCATTTGCGAAACTAGATGGTGTTCTGGGCTCCTGGCTTCCACATGGCCTAACCCTGGCTCTTGTGGCCATCTGAGGAGTGAACCAGTAAATGGAAGATCTATCTCTCTTTATTTTAGTAACTCCCCCAAATAAAAAGAAAATAATTCTTTTTCTTTTTAATGGATAAGATAGGGCCTGGCGCCGTGGCCTAGTGGCTAAAGTCCTTGCCATTAATGCACTAGGATCCCATATGGGTGCAGGTTATAATCCCGGCAGCTCCACATCTCATCCAGCTCCCTGCTTGTGGCCTGGGAAAGCAGTTGAGGATGGCCCAAAGCCTGGGGACCCTGCACCTGCATGGGAGACCCGGAAATAAGTTCCTGGCTCCTGGCTTTGGATCAGCACAGCACCAGCTGTTGCCGGCACAGCTCCAGTTGTTGCGCTCATTTAGGGAGTGAATCATCAGGTGGAAGCTCTTCCTCTCTGTCTCTCCTCCTCTCTGTATATCTGACTTTGAAGTAAAAATAAATAAATCTTAAAAAATGGATAAGATGATTGATGTAAGCCTACATAATCTATAATCATAATAAAAGAAGAAAATAATGACTACACTTGATTGTGCAATACAAACTTAACTTTCAGGCATGACACTGAAAGTTTTAAAAATAACTTTGCGGTATGGTATGATGGTTCAACTGGCTAATCCTCCATCTTGTGGCAGTGGCATCCCAAATGGGCACTTGTTTGCTTTCCAGATCCTCCACTTCCCTTTCAGCTCCCTGCTTACAGCTAGGGAAAGTAGTGGAGGATGGTGCTTTGGACACTGAACCTACAGGGAAAATGCAGAAGAAGCTCCAGATTCCTGGCTTCAGATCAGTGCAAATCTTGCCATTGCAGCCATTTGAAGGTTTAACCAGTGTATGGATGATCTGTCTCTCTCTTTCTCCCTGTAATCTTCCTTTCCAATAAAAATAAATTTTGATATTTAAAAAAAAAAAACTTTGGAATTAGAGCCCGGCACAGAAGCCTAGTGGCTAAAGTCCTCACATTGCATGCCCAAGGACAGCATACAGGTGCTGGTTTATGTCCTGGCTGCCCCACTTCCCATCCAGCTTCCTGCTTTTTGCCTGAGAAAGTAGTAGGGGATGGCTCAAGGCCTTGGGACCCTGCACCGGTGTGGGAGACCCACAAGAAGCTCCTGGCTCCTGGCTTTGGATTAGATTGTCTCTGGCAATTTCAGACACTTAGGGGGTGGATGAGCAGATGGAAGATATTTTTCTCTGTCTTTCCTTCTCTCTGTAACTCTATCATTCCCATACAAGGAACAAATCTTTGAAAAAATTGGAATTAAACAAACAATAGCAGAATAAGTGAATTTGTAATACAAATTTCAGTTCATAGAGTAAATTGGGAAGGACAGGCTTTCATTGCAGGTGTGCCCTACATGACGAAAAACATGTAAGCATACCCATCCTACTTGGAGTAATGCGAATAGAAATGAGGAGGAATTTGAGAACTGATGAAGTGGAAAGTGACGTGGGAATGGGGTCATTATTTCATGTGCAGATTTATTTGCAATCACAGGTGATTGAGCAGGAATGGGAAGAGTGAGTGAGTACGGTGGATGGGCTGCCTACTCGAGTGAAGTCGCCCTGCTATGGAACACCTTGAGGAGGTGCAGCACCTGGCATCCATAACCATTTGTCTCTAACAAAGGCAGTGGCAACAAGCACAGGTTCTGCTGCATGCTTGCTTCGAAAGTTAAGCATCCTAGCATCAAATGACTGATATTAGCTCAAGGAAATCTCTAACTTCTAGAGGAATGTCCCATGGACTAAGTTTAATTCTCCAGCAGTTCTGACATTGGTGTATAACAATTTGATAGAATACAGCCTTCAATCATTTACTATTTCAATTTTCAATCTTGTATTCACATCCGGGTTACTGAATGTGAAATGAAGAGTGTTATTTCATTGATGGAACACCTTTTATATTCTAGCCATTCCTTTATAATTTTGTTTCTGGAATTGGTTTGTTTTGACATTTTGTTAATAATTTTAAGATAGTCTGCCATTTTCAAAGAGAATAATTAACCATATGGATCTTGAAGAACCCCGAGAGAAGTCTGAGGTAAGCTTTCTAAACGTCGAACTTGTTACTATAAAATGGTCTTCTCCCCTGTTGGTTTAGTAACTGAGAACTTGCAATGTGCACATCCATATTGTGCAATTATTTCAGAATCAGTGGCCCCAGATGCCCAACCTCCCTGGGGGGCTGTTCACAGAGCAGATGGTGCAGGCAACATGAGGGGTATTACAACTTTGATGTTAGAAGCAATTATTCCACCAAGGACAATGAATGCTCGCTGCTTTGTTACACATGCGAACTTAGTTGTATACTGCTTTAGAACCGAGAAATGTTATAAAAGAAAGCTATCAAGCCATGTGTCAGGGAGTTTAGACGTCCTTATTCCTTTGATGAAGGTGAAGTTGTTTGCTGATCACCTGTAAGTTAGCCCGTATCTCTGATAAAGACTCTGTGAAATAGAAAGGATTTGGATTGGCCTTTTTGTTTGCACAGTTTCCAGTTTCACATAAGACCAAGGATCACAAATAGAATATATGGTCCCTGGGTAAGCTGGGAATCATCTTATTTTTTTTAGAGATTTGTTTATTTTTATTGGCAAGGCAGATATACAGAGGGAAGGAGAAATAGAGAGAGATCTTCCATCTAATAGTTCACTCACCAAAGGCTGTAATGGCTGGAGCTAAGCTGATCTGAAGTCAGGAACCAGGAGCTTCCTTTGGATCTCCCATGCAGGTGCAGGGTCCCAAGGCTTTGGGTCATCCTTGACTACTTTCCCAGGCCACAAGCAGGGAGCTGGATGAGAAATGAAGCATCTGGGACACAAACCAAAGCCCATATGGGATCCTGGCGGATTCAAGGCCAGGCTTTAGCCACTATGCTATTGTGCCAGGCTCCTGGCAATTGTTTCAAACATTTTTTTTGAGGTGCTAACTATAGTTTGGTAATAAAGAACTTTTCTATCTCAGTATTCATTTTTGTGCAAGTAAAATCTAAATAAGTGGACTCTTTAAACTTGAATTTCCAGATTTTTAGGACATCATCATTTTAGAATTTTGTTTCAGAACATGACTGTAAATCAATGATCTAAGTATATTTAGAAGCAAGATTCTTCTGTGTCTTCACAGGAGACCCACAGTGAATACCAGGTAGCATTTAGCCTTGTTGATAGCTGATTTTTCTTTCCCTGATTCAGACACCAAAACAAAAGGATATTTTATGTTTTTTTAGGTCAGTTTCATAGCAGCAAACGTTTGTGGAAACTCTGAAAGTGCGTCAATAAATTTCATTACTAGTAGTAATTACATTAAGACAGATGCAACTTGAACTTTGTTATATATACTGTGGCTTAAAAATACTTTTATTTTGGCCTAAGAATAGGAACAGCTGCAGAGAGTACAGGGGAAATACATTACATCATCACAATACTGAGAATAACTGCTATACATCTTCTGAAGGCGTTAGAAGGAATTATGTTTCCTGGCAGCTAGGATGATAACTTGCCTTTGTTAACTTTTCCTGTCTACACAGACAGAATAAGACTAGTCGTAGACCAGCCACTAACTCCTAATCCAGTTGCAGTTGGAGGAAGGTGGTGGTCTCTGTCCACAAACATTCACTTAAAGGTTGTATAGATTTGTAGGGTTCAATATGGTCCCTGCAATTTATGTACTGCTGAGATAAGCAGTCTCATTGGTCTATACACTGCAAGAATTTTTAAAAACTCTTGGTTTCTATATTATGGTAACTCATAATGTATTATTAAATTTTAAAACATTGAAGAAAATTTGTTTTCCATTTTTCTAAACATCTTCAGCCTTCACTGATTTTCACAGAAGTTTTTCTTTAAGTTTCTTCATTGTGCTTATAATTAAGTCTCTACTTACTTGCTTGTTTCAGAAGTCTAAGGAGAAAGTTGCATTAAGTCATATACTACACACATACCAACTAGTTGTGTTTGTCATTCTGCATGTTAACTCAGAAGTTATGAGCTAGAATCTGGTTAAAATCAATGATTCCTCTTCCTTTTGAATTATTTATGTAGGGTCTAATGGCAGTCCAATATTCTATGAAGACAAAATAGCAAAGTAAACTTTGCATGGGAGAGCAAAATATAAAATGATAAATTGTGTCCTTCTGAGGTCATTCTGGAGACATTATGAAAAACTCAGCACTGATATGCATCTTTTAGGTAGTAGTAAGTGGGGATTGAAGGGTCTGCAAAGCTCCTAAGACTCTAATTCTTTATATATATTGTCCTCTGTCTTTTGTGTGTGCGTGTGCTAGGATTACAGAGTGAATATCTTTCTGCGTCAGAAATGGAATGATCCTCGCCTGGCATACAGTGAATACCCTGATGATTCGTTAGACCTCGACCCTTCCATGTTGGACTCCATTTGGAAACCTGATTTATTCTTTGCCAATGAAAAGGGTGCCAACTTTCACGAAGTCACGACAGATAACAAATTGCTGAGAATTTTCAAAAATGGAAATGTTCTTTATTCGATAAGGTAAGTCATAGACAAATTTCTGATTTCAAAGTAGTGTGCCATTTGTTTTGTTTCTGAAGAGCTTTGAGATTTTTCAGCATTGTAATTGTAATTGAGTTTCTCTCAAATTTACTGTTTTCCAAACAGGCCTGATCAAAAATAACAGAGTAAATTGTCGGACCAGGAAGAACATGATTGATTCGTAGAGTTTTTGTTTTGTTTTGTCTTTTGTTTTTACTAATGACCTGGGTCAATTTTAAGGGAGCAGGAATCTCAAAGGCAAACACAGAGGCTGAATCAATATTACCATTAACTTTGTATACGTCCTTACCTCTTTTAAACTTGCACAGGTGAGAAGTACTTAGGTGTACTTACCTGGGATCCATTTCACACATAAACCTTCCCAAGGTATGTATTTTTAAGATACTCTTGCACGCCTCTGGACAGTTTTATATTTTAGCCTGGGTTGTCAAATTTCCACCCTTTCAAACATCCTGCCAAGTGGTACTTTATCATAAACTTTAAGAAAAGGAGACACTTGTCACAATCCCTGGAAAAAATTTAGACTTTAGTTATTTATGATGCATTTCTCAGAACTATGCAGCATTTAAAACACAGTGATAGTTAACATTAAGGGTAAACCCTAGTCACAAAATTTCCTGACTCATTAAATCTTGTCAGTTCATTAAATTTCAAACAGATACAGATCCAACAAATCACAGCTTATAATGAGATACTTACTGATCTGTATCACTTTAGAAAAGTAATCTGACTTAAAGATCTTTTCTCAAAAGACTCCTTTAGTTATTTCTTAGGTCATTTCAGTTGTACAAAACAAGGTCTCAGGAACAGATGCACCATATTTCCTATAGATAAAGAAGAGGCTCAACTTGTAGCAACAAGTGAATATTTACATGTTTATATCACCAGTAACATAATTTCTAAGTTTTGAATATAGTTAATGTAGACATGGGGTGTGTATGTTGTGTGTGTGTGTAAAGATGTATCTAATATAACTAAGTCATTTGAAAGACATAGTGATACAGAGGGGAAGAGAGAGACACTTTCCATCTGCTGGTTCACTTTCCAAATGGCCACAGGTGCTGGAAAGATAAGTCCAAAGTCAGGAGCAAGGAGCTTCTTCCAGGTTTTTCACATGCTTTCTGATGTCCACATCTATACTGCATCCCCTGATGTGTTAGCAGGGAGCTAGATGGGAAGTGGAGCAGCCAGGAGTGGCATCAGTGCCCATATAGGATGCCAGCACCACAGATAGTAACTTCACCCACTATGCCACAGTATCAAACCCCATAGTAAGGTTTTACACTTAAGAGTGATCCTTCATATTTTATTTCTGTCTTATTTTCCTTTTTATCGACTTCCTTCAAATTGGGGATGAGGCTATTTGATTTTGTGTTTAGCTGGATATGAAGAAATAATGTAAAATCATTTAGTTGGAAGTTAATTTAACCTAGCTGCTTAATTATTTTGAATATTTTTTCTGCAAGGTATTTTACCCTAAGATGGGTTTCCACCACTTCATTCCAACATACTGCGCATGCTTTACCCAGTTTCCCATTTCCCATTCAAAATGTTTTTCTCCTTTCAAAATGCTGATTGCTGTCTGAAATTGACAGGGTGATGTCACTCTATAATAAACTGATACTCATCAGATTTCTGAAAAACGACTCATGTGTTCCTATAACCTTGAGTGATTAATGGTCACTCTTGATATAAAGGACGGTTTTTGGTAACATTATTACTTAACATCCTTACTCTCATATAGGAGAATAGTGTAATGTTATATCAGGCAAGATCTGTTTAGACATTTTAGAAAATTACCCAAATTATAAGCATAAGCAGGTAGTAAGAATTTGTCTTTTAGCAAGATTAGGAAGAGCTCTTTTATATTCTGCATGTGAAGTAGAAATAAAACCATGGACACAGTATACAAAACCAACCCAGGGAGACTTCCAATGTTACAGACAAAAGACAGGGTGCCTAAGGAATTAGAAACTCAAGGAAAAACAATAAGCTCCAGAAATTGTTTTTTTTTCATGTAAATCTTAGAGTTGGAGATGTAAACGCTGTCAATTTATAAACATCGGCAGATATAGCTGCAGCACTTTGAGTCCAGCTTCCTGTTAATGCACCCGGGAAAGCAGTGGGAGATTACCCACGTACCTGGGCCTCTGAGCCCACCTGAGACCCAGATGACACCGTTGGCTCCTGGCCTCACCCTGGCTCAACCCTTGCCATTGCAGTCATTTGGGGGTAAGCAGGAGCATGAAAGATCTCTCTCTCTCTTCCCCTCTCTACATAACATTGGCTTTCAAATAGACAAACTAAACCAAAAGGAACTTTACCTAAACAGAGACATCACAGATTGGAAGAAAGGTATGAGAATAGAACCTCAGGGGCCCGTGTGAATGTAACAAAAACAAAAAGGAGAAAATAATGGATATAATTTCAATGAGTTTTATAAATGGCATAAACATAAACATTCAAGAAATTAATCTCCAAAGTGGATAAACTCAAAGATATTCGTACTATGGCACATGATATGTCAACTTCTGAAGTGTAACAAAAACACTGAATTTATCTAGAGACTAATGGCATCTAAACAACTATTCAACTATATCTAAACAACTGTATGTAAACAACTATTCAAACGATAGCAGACGCCCATCACGAATCATGGAAACCAGAAAGAGATATTGCATATTTCTCAGATACTGAAAGAAATTGTTATTGTAGAATCTTAGACTCAATGAAAATACCATTTATGAAGGAAGGTTAACTCTAGAGTTTCTTGGATAAAAGAAAACCAAGAGAATCTATTACAAGTGAACCCAGTATGGCCAAGGAAGATTTTCCAAACAGAAAATAAATGATAAAACAATGGACATAGGTAAATAAACAAGAAAGAACGAACACAGCAATAAAAAATGTGGGTTACTATAATAGACTCTTGCTCTCATTTTAATTTTCTACGTTATATTTGACGACTGAAGTAAAATTGCTAATATTCAGGTTGGGGGATGGAAATTTAAAGTAACAAATTTAAAACATTTTATTGTAAAACTGTTGACAGAAATTAGCTATTTACTAACAGTTAATGTTCCCTGATAGACTTTCTGTGGACATATTACTTGACATTAACTGAGAAGATTATCTGTTAGGATACATTAAAATAAAAAAATCTACTTATTCTTCAACTTGGCAATGCTACTTACAGGAATCTAAATTGAGTATGCATTTAAGGGTTTCTAAGATACAGTTACAAACATATCCACAGCAACACTTAATTGACAACAAAAGTCTATGTTTTCAGCAATAAAAATGTGAAACACAGTAATAGACCCATATCATGAAACTGTGCATGCGATAGATCTAAAAGTATTAAGAGCAAAAAGTCTACAAGATTTATTTATGATATGTTACATTTATATGTTTGAAACATTTCTATTCATAATTATTTCTGTGTATGTGAAAATTGAGAGAACTGTGTAACTGCAGTCCTACAGATGAACTAAGTCACTTAGTTGCTCTAATTAAAATACATTATGTTAAGGAATACTACAAGTTATTTATTATGTTGAAAGTTTTAATAATTTTACCAGCATTATTTAGGCCTTGTCAATACGTGCCTTGGAAAGACTTAAGTGTTTCTTGTCTTGAGACAGAAGATAAAATTGTTGTGCTTCAATATGATGTCATCCACTATGAATTGCTCCCATTTTTCTAATACTTTGAAGGAAGATATGGAATAATTCAGACGGGAAATTTTTTTTAAAGATTTATTTATTTTTATTGGAAAATCAGATATACAGAGAGGAAGAGCTTCCATCTGTTGATTCACTCCCCAAGTGACTGCAACAGTTGGCTGCTACACCAATCTGAAGCCAGGAGCCTAGAACCTCCTCCAGGTCTCCCACGCAGGTGCAGGGTCCCAAGGCTTTGGGCCATCTCCGACTGCTTTCCCAGGCCACAAGCAGGGAGCTGGATGGGAAGTGGAGCTACCAGGATTAGAACCGGTGCCCATATGGGATCCTGGGGCGTTCAAGGCGAGGACTTTAGCTGCTATGCATCACGCTGGACCCTCAAAGGGGCATCTTTTATCTCTCAGCATAAATTCAGATGAAATGGACGGTTTCTCTGTTCCAATTTTATATGCTGTATCTTGGCTCACATAATCAAAGAAAAAAATTTATTTTGTGAGTGTATGTGAGTTGTTTTTGGAGATCTCACAGGACTTTAAAATCTTCAAATACTTAGACTCTTCAGTTTCTTGGTTAACAAAAACTGTTTTAGAAAAAAAAAATGTACATTTTACAAATGGAGCATCTGTTTCACGAAAGAGCTGTCTTCCCTGTTCATTTAAAGAGTCAGAAGTTCGTGCAAATGCAACCACTTGAGTAAACTTACATATTTATTTGTGTCACTTCTGTAAACCATAGGAAGACAAAGATACAGAGAGTAAAAATAAGAACAACATTAACAGAGCAGATGGATGAAATAATGGAAAAGGAGACAGCAGAAAAGGTGACAACACTGCTTAGGAAGCTTGGAAAGTAATTCACATTGACAACACAGAGAACCTGCAGAAACCTAGGCCAAAGTACCAAAAGGAGAAAATAATATTTCAGTTTTTTTTTTAATTTGAGGCAGTTTGGACTTCAAAACTTGGGATTATTAAAGATCTAGACGAAAAAAAAATATTTACAATTTGTGGTTACGGTGACCCCTCTTTTACTGATTTCCTCACCTGCACCCTTCAGATTAGGAACAGTCTGTTTACTTTTTAGTCTGGAAAGAACACAGGAGAACAGCAAGTATCAGGCAGGCTTTCTAAGCACTCCACGAGGAGACACTCCAGGCACAATCAAGGCCTCTCCTGAGGCACCCAACCAAGAAAATGAGCATGATGGGAGTTTGGTACATCAGAAAGAAATATCCATGGCCTGCTCCCAAGCACTGAGGGATGACCTGAACCTTCCCTGAGTGGTAGAACTTGTCTA